CGCCTCCCGTTCCTCGGCTCGCCGGCCCGGCGGGGGAGGTGGGAGAAGGTCTTGGGCTGTCTTTCCAGGGGCCCCGGTGGGCCACAGCTCTGAAAGCTCTCCTGCTCCCTGGGCAGCCTCTGCCTGCTCCCCAGCCTACGCCTTTTCCCTCGCAGTGCGTGGGGTCAGGCTGCTCCTCACCCGCCGCCCCTGTTTTCCTTGCCCTCTCTGCCAGGCGCACCTCCGTCCCGCCGACATGTCCTGCTTCGATCTGTGCCGTCCCTGCGGGCCTACCCCGCTTGCCAACAGCTGCAACGAGCCCTGCGTCAGGCAGTGCCAGGACTCCCGGGTGGTGATCCAGCCCTCTCCCGTGGTGGTGACCCTGCCCGGCCCCATCCTCAGCTCCTTCCCGCAGAACACCGCCGTGGGATCCTCCACCTCCGCTGCCGTTGGCAGCATCCTCAGCGAGGAGGGAGTCCCCATCTCCTCCGGGAGCTTTGGCCTCTCCGGCTTGGGCAGCCGGTACTTTGGAAGAAGGTCCCTGCCCTGCTAAAGCCGGGGTGGGCGGCCAGGGAGCGCTTCAAGCAGGAACCCCAAAGCCAGGCGCCGGGCTGAGGACGGAGCTGCTGGCCGGGGTTTCTGGGTGGGCTGAGCATCCTTGTGCCCTCCTGCAAAGGAGGGAGGCGAGCAAGGGTGCCAGCCTGTGACAAGGGCAGCCACCTGTATGGCATACTTTTAAAATTTCTTCTTTTCATTACTTTCCTTGTGTCTGTGTTTTTGAGTTTCTCTTTGACTTGATTTTGCAGTTGGTTTTAGTTGTCCATGGTGGGGATTTACTTAGAAAATAAGGAAAAGTATAACCTTTCTTAGTATTTGTTGATTTTAGTGGTGTAAATGGCTTTGCTCCTGCAGACATATGCCTTTTGTTTTGCATAATGTAATTTCATTTTCTTATTAAACTGATATTGCATCCTCATTTGAGTCTCCTTTTTTTTTTTCCTCCTTTCTTTATCTCACCACCTTGATTTGAAGTTTGATTACATGGGAAATCTATGGAAGGCTTCAATGCTGCTTAGAGGAAACTATTAATTGAACATACTGCAAAGGTCAGACTGATTAAAGGAATTTCATTATATACACTATTTTTGATGAAATCAACAGTTTTTATGAAAAAGACTTTTGGACTTTCTCCATAATTTTTTTTCACTTCCATGGTCTTGTGGTCTTTCAGTTTGGAAGAGCTCTGATCTTTTCATTGGCATCCTTTACTTCTTCTTTCCCTTCTCCCTCCTTTTGAAACTCTGGGTGAAATTTATCACTGTGTAGATGATCACTACCAAGCAGAAACACAAAATGAATGCTACTGGAGACACTAATGAGAGGAGAACAAGATAAATTTAAAGCTCGAGATCAAGAAAACACTTTCTTTTGCAGCTGAAACGCCCATTGATTCAACAGTGATTCTTGTAATATTTGGCTTTCTACATTTCTGCCAATAAATTATTCTCAAGACTGGAAGTGTCTTATGATCTAACAAAATGATAAGATATCTAATCTATCATAAAATACTATTGGTTTTAAGGAATCTTGTGAGTCACACTCTCAGCAATGCTGATGTAGAGCTGCAGGGTGCAAAGAAAGACTAATACTCTTTCACCATCAAATCACTGCTTGAAAACTTGAATCTACGAAGTCAAGCCTGAACTACAGCACGAGTACCAAAGGAGGTATAAACATAGATCTTTGTGACAGAGGGCAATCCTATTTGCTCCATTTGCTTGCTATTTATTGTATCAGTACTGCATGTTGTAGGGCTCCTTATAAAAGCCTAACTGTCTTTACTGTCCTCGCTACAGACCTACAGATCAGAAGAGAGTTATTTCTATTTCTGAATAGAAAATAGCATTCCTGTTGCTACTGCCTGCTCTGTGGCACTATATTGTTGTCAAGTTATATATAATTGTCAAGTTATATATATATATAATTGTCCTGTGACTTCCTGGGGTTTCAAGTAGGAGTAATGGCGATTCTTCAGCTGAAAGATTACACAGAAATCAGATCCAGACTTAGAGACAATTAATAAATGTCCCAAAGTAATAAGATCAGATCATCAAATTATTTCATTAAAGTGTGATCGCTTGATTTTGATTTGGAAAAAGAAGCTAAAATTTTGATAAGGTGAAGAAATGCAGTCTTGTGTGTATTTCTACTAGTTGTGTTTATACAGCCTGGAAAAACCATGGCTTAGCTCAAGCAGTTCTAGCAAGTGTTGTATCTCTGGTCAGCAGTTCTCACCGGTCTTTTCTTTAGCCTTTGCAATATTCATGGAAATTTGGTGCTCATCTGAGTTGTATGTTTGTGTGGGATTAAAATGGTGCAGATGTGTAAAAATTGGGAACATCTATTACACATCTGGTCTTGTGTTCAGGCTGATTCCTTGAAATGCAAATACTTGTGAATGGAGCTCAGTCCCCCTTCCCCCCCCCCCGCCAAGCTAAATGATCCTTCACCTACAGGAGTGAAGTCTTGAGTAAAGGTGACGCATCACATACGCTCTTGTTAAGCTCTGTCTTGATGACCAAAATGAAACTTTAAAAAAGTACATTGGCCTTAGGAGGCAATATAATTACTGTCAGATGAATCACCACAATCTTCCAAAGAATTAAGAGAGTACACACTGTTGAAGATGAAAGAGTCGTCTATGGTGGAATGTGACTGTAATAGGATGAGGGAAAAAAACGGAGAAATACAAAATGATATTTTGAAATAAAAGGTTTAATCAGTTTGGTGGATTTTGCATGCAAAAGTACTGCTCATTAAATAATTTCATGCATAGTACATGTCTCAGGTCCTCAGGTAGTCTGGAACACAGTATAAAAGCCTATGCAACACCAGACTCTTCCATCCACTTCTCTTACCTTAATCGCCCAGGTGAACAGGTAAGTCTGAACCTACCCAGTGTCCTTTTAAATGCTAAATTGTTGCTTTGATGGCTGTTTTTATTTTGTTCTTAGTTCTTGAAAATATTAGAGGATTGCTAGCTTTTCCCTTTTGGGGGAGGAAAATTAGAAAGGCTTACTTCCATCAAAAATAAAGGATTTATTTAGGATATAGGGTGTGCTGATGCAGGACTTATTTAGAGGGTACTGGCAAGACTGGCTCTACCAAAATAAGCAGTTTCATGCTCATTTTAGAGGCCAGTGCTAAAAGAGTTAGCCAGCCAAAGCCAGAGATAAAATGGGCCTGGCTGGAAATACGCAGGCTCATTTTCAGAATCCGTGACTAGCCAGAAAAAAATCTATTCTGAATTCCTTAATCTATCCAAACCCCTCTTCTTCATGGACAGACGTGTGCAGATGCCAGTAGATGTTCAGTTCCTATGAACTCTAACTAGCATGGATACTTCTGATCTGGAAAATAATCCCTTTCCCCCTCCAGGTTTGCCTGTTTAGTTCCATTTATAAGAGGTTTGGGAGATGTTTGTTTGTTATACCCACAACCGCCCTTTATAGTTACTTTCAAATATGTTACCAATGTAGCTGAGCTGCAAAATCTTAATATAGATTCTGTATTGCACTCCTTTTCTTTGTTTCAGATTTACCTCCATCCCAGAGACATGTCTTGCTACGACCTGTGTCCTCCCAACCCCTGCGGGCCTACCCCGCTTGCCAACAGCTGCAACGAGCCCTGCGTCAGGCAGTGCCAGGACTCCCGGGTGGTGATCCAGCCCTCTCCCGTGGTGGTGACCCTGCCCGGCCCCATCCTCAGCTCCTTCCCGCAGAACACCGCCGTGGGATCCTCCACCTCCGCTGCCGTTGGCAGCATCCTCAGCGAGGAGGGAGTCCCCATCTCCTCCGGGAGCAACTTGGGAATTGGGAGCTTTGGCTATTCAGGCCTGGGCAGTGGGTACAGCCGGCCCTACCGTCGCTTCAACACCTACCGCAGTGGCTTCTGTGGGCCGTACTAAAGCCCTGAGAAGAAGCAAGAAGAAAGGACCAGAAATGGTGAAGCAGGACCCGGAGGCAGGACTGAGCTCATGGCCATATTTTTTGGACACGGAGTTGGACACCCACAACTCCACCTGCCATTAATGGAACTGTGGGAGCTTGGCATCGCTTAAAATCAGGCCTTTGCTTGTCTTACTCTTTTTATACTTTAAATTTCTGATCAAGTGTTTTGTTTTCTATTGCTATAGCTGGGTCTTGATTGTCACAACCCACAGTAGTACTGAGAAAAGAAGAGGCCCAGGATGAAAAGGCATATTAGCTGTTGTCTTATTGAATCTTGGAAATATATCCCTTATACTTTGCACTTTTCTACTTTTTGCTCTCATTAAAGTCATGTTGCATCATAATCTAAGTCTTCTGGTGTTTGTTTGCTCTCTAGTGCCTATTAGCAGCTTGCTCTTGATACAATTTCTTACTTTTTCAATGTTTTCTTTTTTAAATGAAAGTTACCCTTCTTTCTAACTTTTTCCCATCAACCAGATATAAATATTTGACTCACTGTCTCTCTTCCAAGAAATCATTTCTACAGCTAGGACATTATACTCATCCAGACCAAGAATCTGCCTACTCTTGTTACATAATACTGATGTAAGGGAAGCCTACCTCACTCCTAGAAAACATTCTGATGGCTATGGTCTGAGGAAAATGGGACCCCCAAAGAGAAAAGACACCAGTGGGTTTGTGGGGGGATGCACTAAGAGGAAACCTGCTCTCCTTGCAAATCATTTCACACTGAATATTTTTTTAACTAATGCCAACCTATATAAGGTATCTACTTAAATGTAAATATAGTGTTCAGGCAGTGCCAGTGTGTGAATCTTCCTGCACTGGTGCTGAACGACAGTTAAATTTGGGAAAGCTTCTTGCATAATCTCCCTGCCTGCAGGAATCTATGGAGTTGAATGATAGGCTGAATTTTCACCCCATGAGAAAGTTTGCAATTTCAAAAGTTTATTTTCAGTAAGAAATCCCTCCTCTCCTCAAGGAGGGATGGAAAGGCTTTAAATGGCTACGTATTAGCCCTGCCTTGCCAACCCCGCACTAGTGAGCTGTGATCATTTTCTTAAATTTCTAATGGAAGTAAATGTAGAGTCAGGGGCCTGGCAGATCACTGCAGCAAAATTCATGTGAGTTCCGCAATATAAAAATAGCTGTGAATTTCTGATTCACTCTAATTCATCTCAAAGATCCGGCCATGAAGTTTTCTGAGCATACAATAAAGTGGTTGGAGTTAGAGCAGTAGCTGTTGTAATCATTTTCAATATTTAAATATAAAGTAATATTTAAAATGCTGGGGTTTTTTTTTTTTTTTGATCTCTGACTCAGATTTAAAAAGTGTTCTGTATTTCCCAAGCAGAACTTGGAACAAGGAATAATAATAATTAAAAAAAAAAAAATTGATGAAAGTCATCTAGAGATGCTGTTATGCAAATTAATTCCCCAAATGGCTGCTGGATACCAGCTACTATAGAGGAAATTATTTTTGAAAAAGTCTATTAATCCCTGAGTATATGGAGAAGTACTGTGGAATGGAAAGGCTGGTGACACTAGGAAAGGACAGAGTACTTTCTTTGCAAATCTCCTTGAAATACAAGATGGCTTAAAACAAACCTTGAGCTACTTTTTAATTAAAAATAAAATAGTCCTAGTTCCTGCAGCCAGGAACAATGACATGAATTTTAGAACAAAATGATTGACCTTCATGCCCAAATTTCAATAGTATATATGTGATATGAAAATTTAAATCTGTATCACATACCTTACATTTCTACATAATATGATACTTTGCATGCTTAAAGCTTTACTAAAAGTTTGTGATAAGCTTTGAAGTTCTCAGCTCTTGAGGTGCCTATGACCAAGCTAAACGAGTTTCTGTTCCCAGGGGATCGTCACGAAGACATTTGTAATTTAGAGATGATTTACATATCTTAGTAGTTCAAGTGCTAGGGGAGAAGATGCCTAAATACTGATCTCTGTGCCAAGGACGACTCATGTACTTTGCCCCTTTACTATTCATTCTGCAAACCCTCCTTGGAGAAGAAGTTCAAGTTCTATGGCTTGCACAATCCAGAGAACACTGTGAAGTGCCAGAACAGTTGATACCAAGTGAAGAAACTACTGACATTTTATATACATTCAGCACTTCTCCGACTGGCTACCATAAGTCTATAACACATCTTGTACCTGACAGTGCAGAGGTAGCAAGAAAAATGAATACTGTAATAGGAAATGAAGAATTCTTGTATGTGACTTCTAATCCTACCACAGCTGAATTTTGCAAAAACCTTATCTTTTGCAGGGCTTTTCCTTGACAGCAAATGTCCCCAACAATGTAACATATTTGTGCATGTATAAGTTAACCTAAAAATCAATTGCTAATGTATTGAGGGCTGAGATAGGAATAAAGGTGGGTCTGTAGATTCCTCAGACAAAGAACTCCTAAGAGAACAGGCCCAGAATTAGAGCTAGTCAGAAAACATCTGATATTCGTAAGATTTGTGCCTCAGAAAGACTGATATTATCTCATTAGACTGGATTTATACTCTTTGGTTTTTTTCTTCCACATCAAAACGCAGAGTCTCAAATGTTTTCTAGTTATATCACAGTCTTTGCACAAAGCCATAACTCTTCATTTTCTCCCAGCTTTCACTCTGTTGCTCATTGCCTCTCATTTTGAGGCCTCAGCTGGATTTAAATTTAAATTGTGGATGTATTCCTGGTCATTTTCTGAAAAATTCGGTGTCTCTCTGCTTCCCTAAGGGCTTGAATCTCAGAACTAGAAGTCCTCATGGGTTGTCTTCCAACTCATTAAGTGAAATTCTATATTATTTCCAACAGTATTTACCTTGGAGAGGAGGGCTTGTACAAAAGACTACATTATGCAAATTCTGCTTAATCTTCTTTAATGATACCAGACAGATTCAAAAGGATTTTGAAAGCAGAGTAAATTCTTCTGAATTAATCATTCTAATATTACCAGAAATTATTTTGGCTCGGAATATTTTAAAATGAAAGAAACTTGTGGTCAGATATGCATGTCACAAGATAAGGAAGTAAAACACTAATAAACACTAATATGGAGGCAAATCCCCCCCCCCCATGTAATCAGAATTGGCTCATAAATAACTTCATGCACAAAGAATGTCCCAAGTTGTTGGGCAACTTGGGATGTAGTATAAAAACCTGAGCAACTCAAGGCTCTTCCATCCATTTCTCTTGCCTTCTTTGCCTTGGTGACTAGGGTAAGTCTGCACCCTTCTATTCTCTTTCTACATGGTGAATTGTTACCTTGGTAATTTCTAATTTTACAGCTTTTCCTTTGTCATATTGTAGTATATTCAGTTTTTTTCTCAGAGGGAGGAAGCTGAGAAGAGTTTTTACACAAAAGAGGAAGTTTTCTATTGGTGGGCAATTATACAAGTTGCTGAGTGGGGAGATCAGAGACAAGCTAGCCAGATAGGTTCTTTATTCAACTTTGGGACTTAGACAAGTTAGCAGGTCTTAGAGCTGAACATAAGAAATCTGCAGTGAGGTCTTGGGTCTGTCCAGAGTAGTGTGTTGGTCTGTGGAAAATTCATCTGAGGCCAAAAGTTCAGAAGAGCAAGGATCCAGATATGCTGGCCAATACTGCCACTTTATTCTTTGTCATCCTGGGTCACCAGATGTCCAAATAGAAAACAATCCTCAGTCCATGCCTGTCTTTGAAACTCAATTCATAGTTCATACTCAGGCAAGGAGTGACCTTTAATCACTTGCTGTCGCATGCTTCAAACAACTGTGGATAGACTTCCACTGCAGCTGCTGAGATCTGCTGGTAATTTTAGTATTAATAGCAAGACGTAAGAAATAAAAGTGTCCCTGAACTCAGCTGCCTGCTCTTCCATTTATTATCAAAGCAGTTTTGAGTGCTTCAGCTTCTATTTTTCATATTCTAAAACTGGGAGAAGGGACCTCCAAGACAGAGCTTGTATGAGAGGAACCAATAGGAAGGAAATGAGAAAAGCTGTATTAATATTAGGTTTGTCATTACTGACTGTTCAGTGAACAGGCAAGCCTTGGTTCAGGAATAACAAGTTAGGTCTTACCAATTCCAGTTGAGCACTATCATCCAAAGGCTACAGAGTCCACCTTCACTTCTCTAGGTGACAGAGCTCTAATAGTTTTCCTGCGTACTGCCAGAACTGCAAGGGGCAGTGCTGAAAGTGCCCTTTCCCAGCGTAGTGTTCTGGCCATGTGGTTAGGGCACTCTCTGCCATATGAAAGAAGAGGTTTTCAGCACCAGCACATACCCCAGTTCCTGGGTGAGTTTACTAACCACGGAGGTTTCAGGGTAAGTTACCGACAAAGATTCACCAGCTCTACCTTCCCTAACAGTCACTGGAGTGGAAGAAAATGCAAACTCAACCCTATTTTCAAAGCACTTGCTCTGGATCTGGAGCTAAAATATTACCTTCCTTCCCATGCAATCTCCTGTTAGTTTGCTATATAAACCCCTTATGATAGTATTTCAGCTGTCTAAATAGACTTTAAACACAATTCCTGTACTGCACTTGCTTCGTTCTCTGTGTTTCAGATTTACCTCCATCCCAGAGACATGTCTTGCTACGACCTGTGTCCTCCCAACCCCTGCGGGCCTACCCCGCTTGCCAACAGCTGCAACGAGCCCTGCGTCAGGCAGTGCCAGGACTCCCGGGTGGTGATCCAGCCCTCTCCCGTGGTGGTGACCCTGCCCGGCCCCATCCTCAGCTCCTTCCCGCAGAACACCGCCGTGGGATCCTCCACCTCCGCTGCCGTTGGCAGCATCCTCAGCGAGGAGGGAGTCCCCATCTCCTCCGGGAGCAACTTGGGAATTGGGAGCTTTGGCTATTCAGGCCTGGGCAGTGGGTACAGCCGGCCCTACCGTCGCTTCAACACCTACCGCAGTGGCTTCTGTGGGCCGTACTAAAGCCCTGAGAAGAAGCAAGAAGAAAGGACCAGAAATGGTGAAGCAGGACCCGGAGGCAGGACTGAGCTCATGGCCATATTTTTTGGACACGGAGTTGGACACCCACAACTCCACCTGCCATTAATGGAACTGTGGGAGCTTGGCATCGCTTAAAATCAGGCCTTTGCTTGTCTTACTTTTGTTATGCTTTACTTTATATTTCTGATCAAATGTTTTGTTTGCTTATGCATTATTGTATCTTACAATGAGTGGGTAAAATATGGAATTATTAGCAATTTTTCTCCATGACTGAATTGGTACAGTCCACTTACGCAATGAAGAAGGAAGATTACATTTTGTTGAGAGTGTTATTGTGAAAGGGATGAGTGGATACTGTCCTTACTGGACACTGGAAATATATTCCTTACCGTTTATATTGATTCCTTCCATTCCTCAGTCTCATTAAATTTGTGCTGCAGCATACTTTGAGTCTTCTTGTATTGTTTTCTAGTCCCAGCCCCTTTTCCAGCCTGCCTGTGGTGAAACAGATCCCTCTGCAAGTCTTCTGTGCCAGAAATACAGTACAAATATGTTCCAGCCGATTGCCAAAGGAGAACAAGACAGATTATATTTCTCAGAAAAAATTTTTCTTTTGCATGTGAAGAACTAATTCCCTCAGATTCCACTCTGATTTGTTGCAATGCTATATATGTGCATCAAGCCTAAGAGAATTTTTCAAAGGTTAGGAATAGACAACGTCCCCCTAGAATGGGTAGATCTCCTACTGTCGTATAAGTAGGAAATGCTTTGCTTCTACTTACACCTTAAAGGTCCTTTACCTGTTGCAACATGGAAACAGAAGTAGGTCCTTTAACTGTTTTGATATGGATTTTCTATGAGAAAGTGTTTATTTTGACAGGGATGGTTTTGATGAGGGATGAGAATGGTGGAATAAACTCAGCTGAAAAGGGGAATGAGCTCCCCTTTGCAGAGAAGTGAAATAGGCTCATTTCAGGGAAAAGCTTGCTCAGGGGAACCCTATTCCTCCTAATCCTTCTGTAGACGTCATAGACAAGAGCATCTATGCAGAAAATAGGGCAAAAGACAGAGGAATATGGCAGGAAAATCTGGATGGGCATGAGGAACATTAGAAATTATGGGGCTAAACCGTTTTCTGAAGTGCTCCTTCTACCCATTTGCTCTCAGTTTGCTGAGTATGTATGGTACATGCTATTAAACTGAGGTGAGGAAGAGAAGGCTATGTGCTGTTTTTGCAGCCAAATCAGCCACTGACATTTGCTGGACTTGGAAGCAGATCCGGGAGAAAAATATTAATAGATTTAAAGTTTTGACTCT